GGATGGGATGGGATGGGATGGGATGGGATGGGATGGGATTTGTTTGGGGGGTCGGGATTCTGAAAATTCACACTGCAGCAGTCAGCCGCTTAACTGAAGGCTCGCAGCAATATCAACAACCGTTGACCCAAGCAAGCCGCGGAGGCTGTGACTAACCCTTGACTAAGCAGGCCGCACCTGCCGCACCACCGTCGCCGTCCCCTGCCTCTTCGCCCTCCTCCTCGCCGTCATCCGGCCCCAGCCCGCCCGCGCCGCTGCCCCCGCCTCCGACGCCCTTGAGGGCAGCTGCCTGGCAGCTTCTTAGGATGGCAGCCAGCAGCTCGTGCAGGCGGGCGGTGCAGGCGGCCAGGTGGGCCTCTTGGTGCTGCCTAGGGCCACGAGAACAGGTTGCATAAGAGCATGAGATGTAGGGTCTGACGCCCACGACCAGGGAGGCAACCTCGCAAAAATGCAGTGCAATCAAGGGGCAAAAAGGGGTTGGTGCGAACGAAGGGGTGGGTGCGCTTTCTCATGTACAAACCGTGCTGCACAAAGGCCCCAAACGCAGCCGTGCGCATCGTTTGCCTGCGGCTGACCTGAAGGTGTGACAGGTTTGACCGCACCGCAGCACGCCATTTCAGCGACCATACAGCACCGGCGCGGCGCGAAGCGCCAGCCCCCCGCTCCCTCACCAGTACTGCGCCGCGAGCCACTGCAGCGCGTGCCGCGCGCCCAGCCGCAGCGAGGCGAGCGTGGGGAGCTCGTTGTGGGTGGCCGCATGGCGGATGTCAACCAGCAGGCGCGACAGGCCGGCGGAGTCCGCCAGGCCCGAGACCGACGCCGCGACCTTGCCCCTCTGGAGGGAGTCTGTTATGCCGTTGACCATCCTGCGGGGGGACGGAGCCACCCATGTGGGGCGTCCGCGCTTAACGTCGTCGATCGGCGCGCGTTGCCAAACGCAGATATATCCGCAGTGTGTGTCATCAGTTGCTGCGGGGCCGGCAGGCCGCGTGGGCGACACCGCATGCTGCCGGCTCAGCCACAAACCCATGCCAGATCACAGCACGCTTGTGTCGGAGGCTCCCTGGGGCGGAAGCGGCGGCTAGTGAAATGCTCTGTGCAAGGGATCGCGGTCGGTGGGTGGGGCGACGCACCTGACAAGGACGGCTGAGTACTGCAGGCGCAGCTGCTGCTCTGACAGCAGTGGCGGCTGCTGCTGCTGCTGCTGGTGCTGGTGCTGCTGCTGCTGAGGCGGCGGCGGCTGCTGTTGCTGGTAGATGGCTGGGTCACAGGCCATGGTCTCAAGAAGGCAAGCGGTGACGTCAGCGCCCACGGGCACCCGTCCGCGCGCGCGCCACGCTGCCACCTGATTGCCGTGTCGCAGTCAGGTGGGCGCGGAGGGCGTCAATAGCATGACAAGCGTTTGCCGGTTGAGCAGGGAAAATTCAAATCGTTTCAAAAGGAAAGTGGAGGGAGTAGCTACGTCACCAGCGCGGTCACTGATTTCAGCCACCTCACCAGCTCGATGCCCTTCGCATGGTCCTCAGGGCTCCCTGATGTGAGCAGGGCTCTTACGCGCGCCCACTCATCCCAGCTCGCCCACGGGACGATGCGACCCATGAGGGACGCGGCGGCGCGAGCGGCAGTGGAATGCAGCGGCGGCAGCAGTAGGGTGGCACGCTGCGCGGCAACTTGCAGCTTCACGTCACTGCGGAGCTAATGCACTACATTCGGAAGTACCAGCAACGAATAGTCTACCATTTTGGATTGAAACAAGCCTGTCGTGGTGCGGTTCTTTTTGGATCTCTGCGTGCATCTGTAGGGTATGTGGCTAAAGTATCGAAGTTCTCATGCGTAGCGTTGCGAACAGCACTGTTCCCCTCAGCAGCCTCGCATACCCAGCCGCACTGGCACCCGAGTGATCGAGTGGCGACTGCACGTGGCACATGCAGCCCTATGAGCATGACAGTGAAGAGTGTGGTACCCCCCCGCTCGTGTATACATTTGACCTTGTGTCAGTGTACATAAAGGTAGACCTCGCCCAGCCGCGTCAACAACAAGCCAAGATGCAGCGTTGGTTCGCTGTCCTTGGCTGGCCACCTGGTCTAGGGATGCAGCAGCTGCGTTCACGCCTGCTGCGGCGGCACGCCGTTGCTGCAATGGCTCACAGCACACCTGGCACGCATGAACTTGCCTCCCCCTGATGTACTCCCCCCCCCCCTCTCTTAGAGAGCGGATCCGATCTCC